AAAATGGTCTGAAGCTCAACATCAAAAAAACTAAGTTCATGGCCACTGGTCCCATCAACCCCTGGCAAATTGAAGGGAAAGATATGGAAGAAGTGACAGATTTTACTTTCTTGGGCTCCATGATCACTGCAGATGGTGACAGCAGCCATGAAATTAAAAGACGCCTGCTTCTTAGGAGGAAAGCAATGACAAACCTAGACAGCATCTTAAAAAGCACCTTGCTGACAAAGGTCCGCATAGTCAAAGCTATCGTTTTTCCAGTAGTGTTGTATGGAAGTGAGAGCTGGACCATAAAGAAGGCTGACCGCCGAAGAACTGGTGCTTTTGAATGGTAGTGCTGGAGGAGACTCTTCAGAGTCCCCTGGACTGCAAAGAGAACAAACCTATCGATTTAGAAAGAAATCAACCCTGAGTGCTCACTGGAAGGACCGCTCATGAAGCTGAGGCTCCAAGACTTTGGCCATCTCATGAGAAGACTCCCTAGAAAAGATGTTGGGAAAGTGTGAAGGCAAGAGGAGAAGGGGAAGACAGAGGACAAGATGGTTGGACAGTGTCATCAAAGCTACCAACATGAATTTGACCAAATGCTGGGAGGCAGTGGAAGACAGGAGGGCCTGGCGTGCTCTGGTCCATGGGGTCACAAAGAGTCGGACAAAACTTAACTACTAAACAACAAAGTGGCAATAAAATCCCCTCAGAGATGGACATTCAAAATGTGTCTGCTGCCTGATTGAGGGGCACCACACACAATATGGCCAACACTACCGCAAGTTCACTGAAGTGGCAATTAAGAATCAGCAGTCTTGCCTGAAACTTCGTATTTAGGAGAGGTCTCTACAGATATTTGGCTTGCAGTCAAAACAAGGTGTTTCAACCTCAACTCCAGTCTCAGAATCTCCACCAAAGCAACTTATAAAATGGAACCATGTCATTCGGAGCCCCCTGAGACTTTTCCTCAGTTTGCCATACTGTTATAGAGCTGTATACTGAGGCAGACTAGGGGAACTGAGGGACGATCATTAGATGCACAGGCATGCACAACAGGGGGAGGGATTATTCTAACAACTCTCTTTTAAGCTCTGGAATATTCTAAGGAGCTTCACACAGGGACAGGAACAACCCATATGTGTGAATTCACAGATCACCATTGAAGAACTACAGTTGCAGATAAGTAATCTGTAACTATAGTTTTTCAAGTGGTCATTTGTGAATTAGAGTTAAAGGTAAGTAACCTGCAAGGCTTCCCCTCCAGTTCTTTCTTATCTTTTGTTGGCAGACATGCTTTTTCCCCTAAGAGGGCGGGTTGAAAGAACCATGATGTACATTCCCTCCCCATAACTTATTTTTAGTAGCTTCAACTACAAATCCATCTTTCCACTGGGTATTAACAGATTGGTGTCACTGCCCAGTAGACCTTAATTTGTTAGAAATAATCACAAATAGTGAAGTAAAAGTCAACCTTGAGATTTTGTCAGGTGAGTTACCACACTCTTTGGATCATGTGGGCAGGGGCTAGGCAATGTATGCTAAACAGACCAAAACTGCTCATTTTAGGGACGCTTCAGACTACTAATTGATGGACTATATTGCTAGGGTGTTAGATCCTGAAGTGGTGGCAGGAAGATTCTAGAGGAGTGATGGTGAACCTATGGCACGCATGCCACAGCTGGCACGCGGAGCCATTTCTTCTGGCACACAAACCATAGGTTGCTACTCTCCTCGCCCCCCCCTGCACAGCCAAACCCACATAAGGTGGCTGCAGCTGGGATTCCCCCTTCCGCCACCACATCCGGGTCCTCTGGGTCTGTCGCCATGATTCTCCCTTAAACCACCACTTCCAGTTCTGGGTCTGTCGCCATGATTCCCCCTTAAACCGCCACTTCCGGTTCTGGTTTTCTGCGTCCGTTGCCGCCGCTATTGCCATTTTGGGCACGCAAGCCCAAAAAGGTTTGCCACCACTGAAAAGAGAATGCTTTGTATCCAAGTAGGAATGTTTTCATGTGTGAGACTGTAATTGCTTTTGTGCTTCTTTAGTACTACAGAGCTTGAAAATGATATGTTAGACTTAATATGCTATTGTTAAAATAGTTGCTTTAATATTAAGCAGGAAAACAAACTGATGCTTCTGTTTTTTAAAAACTAACATTTTCAAAACAACATTAAAATGTTACTTTGAGAATATTTTAGAAGATTAAGGGTACCAGTTTGCTTGTCTTCCTGCATAATGCAAAAATAATGCAAGGGTAGCTATTTTAAACAATTAATTATTTAAATAGTTCCAAAATATTTTAAATCTAAAGTATTATTTCTGATCCCTGTAGTGGTATTCATGCAAAAACAAGAAAACCATTGAAACTGTGGAACAGCAAATGGAAAAAAATTGTAGCTTCAGCTATGTGAGCTGGCCACTTCAGGTTTTGCTTTTGCATTACAAAGTGATGGGAGAAGGGTGACATCTCTTCTTTTTGGGAGGAGAATGCATTTTGAAGAGCTATCAGAAGACAGTCCTCCTTTTGACAGTGGTCTCCAAACATTAAAATGTTACTTTGAGAATATTTTTAGACTGGACGAAAATTGTCAAGGGGAACCTTTACCTTTACCTTTTTCCATTTGAATGGCTACCTGGGCCATGTCAGATTTAAATATAACAATAAGGAAATTAATCAGAAACCTTGAAGCCAATCCACAGCTTGCAGCACCCAGACAGCAGATGCAGCAAGCAGGCAGGTCTTGTGATCAGTCTTCTTCCCACAAATGAGATGCATTTCAACTCTATGGAAATTGTCAAACATCATTTCCAATTTTACACTTATGCATATACATTAATATATTCAATTTTAAGCAAGATTGTGCAGTTTTATCTTCCTTTTTGGAGATATGTCAGCGGCCACCCTAGATAATAATGTCTTGGGTGGTGTATGTACTTCTTTTTCATTTCATACTTTCTGGGCATGATCTCAGTAGGACGTTCTCCTGCAGTAGCTCCTTCTGATATTGTACTCTGCCCCTTCTCTGTTTTGTCTCAGCAAGGTTTTTGTAGGAGAAGATTCTGCTGGCCTGTGCCCACTGTATATCTCAACTTCAGTATCAGACCTCTGCAGGAGGGAAGAATCTTTCAGAAGACTGACTGAATTTCTTATTTCATGCTTCATTTTTAATAGGTTCTGCCACATGATTCCAAGGCTCGACGCCTTTTTGTAACAAGTGGTGGCCTTAAAAAGGTGCAGGAGATAAAAGCGGAGGCTGGGTCACTTCTTCAAGAATATATCAACACAATTAACAATTGTTACCCAGAAGAAATAGTCAGGTGAGCAAATGATGGTGGAGTTTCATTTATGATCTCTTCAAAGCAATGCAGGCCAAATACGAGAGATTTCTGGTATCATTAAAGTTCTTTGTGTGACTTTTCCCTCCCAAGTCTAACAATAAATGCATTTCATTAGGCGTGCAGCACAGCAATTGGACTGCTAATGTTGCACAGGAATTACTGTTCTGGGGAGGAAGAGTTTAATTTGCTCTGTAATTTGCATTTGCAATGTTGTGTTTTATATGTTTCATGGTAGGTAATAAGACAGAAAAGGCTGAACTCTCCATTCTGTTATCTGTTGTTTTTTGGGGTGGGGTGGGGTGGGGTTGATGCTAATCTCATTATCTTTAAACTCTTAGATATCTCTGTTGATTTTTATGAATAGCTCTCACTTTTATTTCTGGGGAAATATTATAAGTGTCTGCTTAGTGAGAACCTGGAAATTGTGTCCAAAGTCCTATTGCGTAACTACACCTTTATAATTTGAAGTTGTACTAGTGGTTGTAAAATTGATGCCAAGACAAAAGTAATATCCAGCAAGCGTTTCTGTAGGTGCCATTATGGAGCTCATTGCACAGCCCACCAAGCAGTCAGGCACACAATGCAGATGTCTGAGTGTAACTTCCCAAGGCAAAACTTCACACTATGCCAAGTGCAGTGGATTTCAGGCTGTGTATCCAAATAAAGTGATGCTTCTCTGTATATTTTTAATATCTTTTTATGTCCTCTGTCTATCTTGATCAGGATACTCTATTTTGATCACATTCCCACTTGACCTGCCAGCTTCTTCATAACAGTCAATCAACATTTGTTCCCCTTGGGTATACTCAGTCCTTATTGTGTTGTTTTAGGGGAATTTTAGCCACTTGTTAATACAAAGATTGTTTGTAGTGCATAAACTGTCAGAGTTCCTCCAAGTCTGCTGATACCTCACTATCATGTGTGAATGCTGCTGCTATGTAGGAGCGAGCAGTTGTGGCTGAAAATCAGTACTGAAGAGAAACCTCCAGGGACTGGTGCTGTGATCAACCCTAAGTGTAGTTAGTGGTGAGGAGTTTTGGGAGGTGGAATACAACAGCATTTGGAGAGTTGTACATTTCCCACCCTTAGGATATATGATGACACTTGGAATATGGTACCTGTACGACTCAGTAAACAAAATCATCTATGCACTTAAGGCGATACCACTAAAACAAGTGTAGCCTATTTGTTGTTGGACCACGTGCATAATATGTGGGATGGCTTTACATAAAAAAGAAGAAAACACTGTATTTTTGCAATGTCCCTTCATAACAAAAAGAGTGAGGATGTCACTACTTACTACAGAGGGACAGATTTGGCAACCAATGTGCTAAGAAATGGATTGTGTATCATATGTTTCCTTCTGCAAAGCCACATAGAACAGAAGGTTCTAAGGTTCCAGATTTGCAAGTCTGTGGGGTAGCCAGTTAGTAGCCCATTAGTAGCATATGGCTATAAAGATCAGTTTGCCTTCCCAAGACAAATCCATGAGTGAGAGAAAATACAGGATATATTGATCTAGTTCCTTCCTCTTGGATTGTATCTTTGTTTTCAAACAGCTTTCATCTGCTGAAGTCCAAAGCTCCTAAAGTAGATTTGCCCCAAACCTTCCTTAATGCCCCCCATAATTATCCCTCCAAGAGTACATAAATTAATTGGCTTCTTCCAGGCAGCTATCTACAAAAACCGGGTTAAGAATTTGGCTCTCCCTTCAGGAGACTGTTGCTCCATCCAGAATGCTCAAATGCAGTGCAATTGGACTCCCTCTGCTGGTTGTCCACATTTTTTTAGGTATTAGCAGCATGCTCCAGACCTGCTGGAACATAAAGTCTTTCATCTGTAAAATGAATGAAATAAATGACCTGAAAAGTTCTCACAAAAGGTGTCTTGAATAGCTGCCACTGATACTGAATATACTATTAGGCTGATGTCACAGAGATTTTGTTACCCTGGCCTGGTGGGCTGATTTGCTAAACTAAGGGGCTAGTTTATTATGTCTCATGCAATTCCTGCTACTTTACAGTAAAAATATTAGCTATTTGGGGCTTTTTGTAACTGTATAGTCCGATTTTGTCTACTTTCAGTCTAAGGTGATCTGTAAATTTCAGTGGGACTGATCCCAAGGAAATGTGCGCAGGCTGATATCCTTGGTGAGAGACAATAATGTTGCTAGTAAAATTGACAAGATTATGCAAGCTGTCTATTTACATAGCACTCAGACAACGGTAATGTAGTACCATTCTCTGTTATTTCAAAGTTTGCCAACTCCCACACCAACAGATGTTCGTCTGATGAAAGATCATCATGTTTGTTTTATATTTCTAATTGCTTGCAGTTTCACCTAGACATTAGCGTTTTATTTATGTTTGAATTCACAAATCCCTTTTTGTTTACCTAGCGATAGTGTGGTTTGAAACAGTATGAAACTAGTTTATTCCCTACTTCTTCCTGTAGAGTTTCTTAGTGTCTGCTGATTTTTGTTTTCTTTTGTTTTAAATGCCATATGCTGCTTTTAAATTTGACCTTTCTGCCGGGATCTGAGGGAAGCTAGGACACATTTTTATACTTTGATTGCATGCCCAAGAGGGAATAGTTAGACAGTAGTAAATTCTTCCAAGTGAAATCTTTAAGGGATCAGAGCAACATTAAGCAAACTCTCCAGAGAGAAAGCTTTGGACAGTTGTGTTTTTCTTTGTCATTGCTAAGCAAAGCAGTAAGGAAGATGAGGTGCAAGAAGAACAAGATTCACAGCAATGGTCAGGGGTCTCTTCTTAGATAGTGATTCAAGCTTATACTGTACGACAAACAATGTGGTTCACTTTAAACAAAAAAAATTGTTGTGTGTACTCTGGGTATCTGTCATACTAATCGGTAATGTTATACAGTGGTGCCTCGACTTACGACCATAATCCATTCCAGACGATGGGTGTAACTCAAAATGGTCATAAGTCGAAGCACCATTTCCCATAGGAATGCATTGAAACCCCATTAATCCTTTCTGACTGGAAAAAATACCAACAACAAAACAAAACAAAAACCCACTGCAAGCCCCATAGGAACGCAGTGGGGCCAAAAAACAAACACACAGCAAAACAAACAAAACAGCCAGCCCCAGCAGAACATTATGGGGCTGGGAAACACACACACACAGACACACACACACACACACACACACACACACACACAGACACACACACAGACACACACACACACACACACACACACACACACACACAGAGCCAGCCCGAACACGACGGGGCTGGACCAAAAATCCCACCAAAACACAAAAAACATCACAGCACAGAAACATAACCTCCCCCAAAACCCAAAGCCACCCTGCAAAACAAAGTACAGTGGTGCCTCGCATAATGTTTGCTTCGTTTAACGTTTTTTCGCTTAACGTTTATTTTTTCAGAGTCAGATTGTGCTTCGTATAACGTTTTTCCCTATGGGCGATTTTCACATAGCGATTTTGGAACCATGCTTCGCTTAACGTTTTTGGTTTTAGGTCCCCTGCTTCACTTAACGATGTTCATTTTTTCAATTACAAAAGTGTCTTAACATGTTGAAAAACGGTTTTAAATGCTTGGAATCGTTAGTGCACCTTCTAAAATGTGTGCATACTTAATTTGGCGTTGATCTGACTTTTCGTTAATTTTTTGTGAATTTTTTTCTCCCCCATAGGAAACAATGGAGCTGTCAGATTTTGACAGCTGTCAAAAGTTGGGGG